CATTTTAAGGTTTTTCCGTTTAAAAATTGTTTTTCTAATAATTTTTGTCTTCAACTTGAATTTCCGCTAAAAAACTGCTTACATTGTTGGTTACAAAAAAAAAAAAAAAAAAAAAAAAACAAACGGAGAGAAAGAAAATCAACATAAAACTGAGAGAAACTTTAAACAAAATGTTGGTGTTTTAAAATTTGCATGTTGCATGTTAGATAGGATATGTTGTAAACTGTATAACAAACTTATTTATTTACTATTGCTAAAACCTGTGTATGTTTTGTAGTTGTTGATTTTTTTTTTGGTAGTAATGCCTACAAACGACCTGAATTTTTTTGTGTTGCTACTCTAGCTAGTTTGGCAACCTTTATGTTTTTTTTCTGTATTTCTTTAGGCTGTGTTCTTTTTCAATCTTCAAGATATTCATGTTCCTATATAGAAATAATAAATAAATAAAATTTGTGTTTAAGGTGTCCTATTGTTGTTATAGCGGCTTTGGCCTCCTCTTTTTTAAATCTAACCAATTCATATTATTGTCTAAAGGTGATCAACACATTCTCTTTTTCTTTAAAAGAGTATAAAAAGTCAATATACTTAAATTACGACAGCACGGTTCATAAACTTCAGTTCAGTGAATTGTAGCTGATTTGTCTGCTAATATAAGTCGAAAAGTTTAAATATTAAGTTGGGGTAAAAGTTGTTCTTAGTCTATACAACTTTTTTCTAAAAAAGTTGCTCTTATGGTACACAACTTTTCTCTAGAAAAGTTGCTCTTGGTCTAGACAAATTTTTTCTAGAAAAGTTGTTCTCAGTCTAGAGAACTTTTCTACAGAAAAGCTGTTCTCAGTCTAGACAACTTTTCTCTAGAAAAGTTGTTCTCAGTCTAAATAACTTTTCTCTAGAAAAGTTGCTCTTAGTCTAGACAAATTTTCTCTAGAAAAGTTACTCTTGGTCCAGATAACCTTTTTCTAGAAAAGTTGCTCTTTGTCTAGACAACTTTTCTATAGAAAAGCTTCTCTTGGTCTAGGCAACTTTTCTCTAAAAAGGTTGCTCTTAGTCTAGACAACTTTTCTATAAGAAAGTTGCTCTTGGTCTAGACATTTTTTATATAGACAACTTTCCTCTAGAATAGTTGATCTTAGTCTAGACATCTTTTCTGTAAAAAAGTTGATCTTAGTCTAGACAACTTTTCTACAGAAAAGTTGCTCTTAGTCTAGACAACTTTTCTCTAGAAAAGTTGCTTTTTGTCTATACAACTTTTCTATAGAAAAGCTGCTCTTGGTCTAGGCAACTTTTCTCTAAAAAGGTTGCTCTTAGTCTAGACAAATTTCTATAAGAAAGTTGCTCTTGGTCTAGACATTTTTTATATAGAAAAGTTGCTCTTGGTGTAGTCAACTTTTTTCTAGAAAAGTTGCTCTTGGTCTAGACAGCTTTTCTCTAGAAATGTTGCTCTTGGTCTAGACAGCTTTTCTATAGAAAAATTGCTCTTGGTCTAGACAACTTTTATATAGAAAAGTTGCTCTTGGTCTAGACAACTTTTCCATAGAAAAGTTGCTCTTGGTCTAGACAACTTTTCTATAGAAAAGCTGCTCTAGGTGTAGACAACTTTTCTATAGAAAAGTTGCTCTTAGTCCAGACAACTTTTCTTTATACAACTTTTTTCTAAAAAGTTTGCTCTTGGTCTAGACAACTTTTCTGTAAAAAAGTTGCTCTTGGTCTAGACAACTTTTCTGTAAAAAAGTTGTTCTTGGTCTAGACAACTTTTCTCTAAAAAGGTTGCTCTTAGTCTAGACAACTTTTCTATAAGAAAGTTGCTCTTGGTCTAGACATTTTTTATATAGACAACATTCCCCTAGAATAGTTGATCTTAGTCTAAACATCTTTTCTGTAAAAAAAGTTGATCTTAGTCTAGACAATTTTTCTCTAGAAAATTTGCTCTTGGTCTAGACAACTTTTATATAGAAAAGTTGCTCTTGGTCTAGACAACTTTTCCATAGAAAAGTTGCTCTTGGTCTAGACAACTTTTCTATAGAAAAGTTGCTCTAGGTGTAGACAACTTTTCTCAATAAAAGTTGTTCTTGGTATAGACAACTTTTCTCAATAAAAGTTGCTCTTGGTATAGACAACTTTTCTCAAGAAAAGTTGCTCTTGGTCTAGACAAATTATCTCTAGAAAAGTTGCTCTTGGTCTAGACAACTTTTCTCTAAAAAAGTTGCTCTTGTCCTAGACAACTTTTCTAAATTAAAGTTTAAGACAACTTTTGTCTAGAAAAGTTGCTCTTGTCCTAGACAACTTTTCTAAATTAAAGTTGCTCTTATTCTAGACAACTTTTCTATAGAAAAGTTCCTCTTGGTCTAGACAACCTTTCTATAAAAAAGTTGCTTTTGGTCTCGACAACTTTTCTATGGAAAAGTTGCTCTTGATCTAGACAACTTTTCTATATAAAAGAAATAACATTTTCCCTGTTCCAATATTATTATGCCTATTGACTTTCTTTCATATATTTAAGCGCCCACACTTTAACAAATAACATTAAAAAGTCTATCTGTCTACTTCTCTTTCTACTCCATTCCAGCCACCATTCATGGCATCAAATTCATCCAAAACTCTGTTTATACTTTAAACATGAAGTTTTTTTCAATTTGCATCATTCACTCAGTCACTCACTATATTTTTTTTTCTTCAGTCAATTTGGCTTATTTTTAATAAAAATAAAAAACATTTTGTTGTTGTTTTATAACTCCTTTACACTAATAACAAATTTTTCATTCATAATTTAACAAAATGAAACATGTTTAAGCATAAACGAAAAAAAAATTGCAAAAAAATATTAAAAGTCTGGTCTTTTGAAGTTGCTGCATGCAGCCAGTTTGTACTTTCGTGTGGAAATGATGCAGCAGCAGGCATGCAATAATTTTCAAATACCTGTTGCCATATTTTGTTTTTTTTTTCCTCTTTTTTTTTTTTTTTTGCTTTCTTAACGAAATGTTGTCATATGCAAATTAATTTAAGTTGATCACCACAAATTTATTTGGTGTTGTCGTGCCCGGTTTGTGGCCCAACAACGCAAATGAATGAACAAAAAAACAACCATCATTTAAAAAAACGGTTTTTAGTTTCTTGTCCATAAAAAAATTGTTGAATTTTTGTTCCTTAAATCATGTAATTTTTTTCTTTTAAATTTTTGTTGTTGTGTCTGGCTTTGGGGATTTATAGTAGGTTGTTGTCGACTTGTAATCCATAGAGTCAAAAACGTGATTTCTTTTAGTAAAAAAAAAACTACTACCAAAAACTCGTGCTGTTTCTAATGTAACGTCAACAATAGCAAAAAAAAATAAATTAGAAAAACAACAAAAATCCGCCAAAACGAAAAATAATCTTATTTAGACTTTCGCTTTTTGACAGGTTTATGCTACAAAAAATATTTAAAAAATTAACGGTATCAGTTCTTCTATGATATGGTCCTTCTATTTAGTAACTCACTCAAACAGAAAATGTTGCATCAGACGTGTTTGAAGTCTATCCAACTTCAGCAGGTTTTTAGCGCCCAGTCCAATCAACCTTTCTCTAGAATACATGCTCTTACTTAAGACCACTTTCTATAGAAAATTTGCTTCTAGTTCCAAAAAGTTGCCCTTAGTCAGAACAACATTTCTCAAAGAACAGTTGCTCTTAGTATACACAACTCCTCTTAGTCTAGACAAGTCCTCTATAAAAAAGTTGCCTTTAGTCTAGACAACTTTCCTATAGAAAAGTAGCTCTTAGTCTAGACAACTTTTCTAGAGAAAAGTTGCTCTTAGTCTAGACAACTTTTCTAGAGAAAAGATGCTCTTAGTCTAGACAACTTTTCTAGAGAAAAGTTGCTCTTATTCTAGACAACTTTTCTATAGAAAAGTTGCTCTTAGTCTACGCAACTTTCCAATAGAAAAGTTGCTATTGGTCTAAATAAAAAAGTTGCTCTTAGTCTAGACAACTTTTCTAGAGAAAAGTTGCTCTTCGACTAGACTACTTTTCTATAGACAAGTTGCTCTTAGTCCAGACAACTTTTCTTTAGAAAAGTTGCCCTTAGACTAGACATCTATTCTATAGAAAAGTTGTTCTTAGTCTGGAAAACTTTTCTATAGAAAAGTTGCTCTTAGTCTAGAAAACTTTTCTATAGAAAAGTTGCTCTTAGTCTAGACAACTTTTCTATAGCAAAGTTGCTCTTAATCTACACAACTTTTCTATAGAAAAGTTGCTCGTAGTCTAGACAACTTTTCTATAGAAAAGTTGCTCTTAGTCTAGACAACTTTTCTATAGAAAAGTTGCACTTAGTCTAGACAACTGTGCTAGAGAAAAGTTGCTATAGAAATATTGCTCCCTGCCTCCTTCAATCTTGAAGACTTTTCCATAGAAAAGTTGCTCTTAGTCTAGACAACTCTTCTAGAGAAAAGTTGCTCTTAGTCTAGACAACTTTTCTAGAGAAAAGCTGCTCTTAGTCTAGACAACTTTTCTATAGAAAAGTTGCTCTTAGTCTAGACAACTTTTCTATAGAAAAGATGCTCTTTGTATACACAACTCCTCTATAGAAAAGTTGCACTTAGTCTAGACAACTTTTCTATAGAAAAGTTGCTCTTAGTCTAGACTACTTTTCTAGAGAAAAGATGCTCTTAGTCTAGACTACTTTTCTATAGAAAAGTTGCTCTTAGTCTAGACTACTTTTCTATAGAAAAGTTGCTCTTAGTCTAGACAACTTTTCTAGAGAAATGTTGCTCTTCGTCTAGACAACTTTTCTATAGAAAAGCTGCACTTTTCTCTAAAAAAGTTGCTCTTGGTCTAGACAACTTTTCTAGAGAAAAGTTGCTCTTAGTCTAGACAACTTTTCTAGAGAAAAGTTGCTATAGAAATATTGCTCCCTTCCTCCTTCAATCTTGAAGACTTTTCCGAAAATTCTCTAGGAAATTATTTAGAATCTACAAATTTCTTTATAAAAATATATTAATTTCTCTTTAACTTTTATCTCTTTCCAGAATGTCAATGCAGTCCTATCGGCTCTCTATCGAATACCTGCGAAAAACGTTCCGGTCAGTGTCAATGTCTGACCAATGTTACCGGACGCCGTTGTGATAAATGCAAGGCAGGCCATTGGAATTTAACACAAAGTGTGGGTTGCCATGATTGTCGCTGTGATCCCTCAGGCTCTAGAAGTCATGAGTGTAATCCCTGGACGGGTCAGTGTGATTGTAAAATCGGTGTGGGAGGTCAAAGATGTAATGAGTGTACAGATGGCTTTTTCGGTTTCTCAACTGATGGCTGTCAGCGTTGTGCCCCTTGTCCGGGAGAGGGTCAAGTATGTGATCCACTAAATGGTCGTTGTGTTTGTCCACCCAATAGCAGAGGTTTGGGTTGTAGTCAATGTGTAGCGGGTACTTGGGGTTGGCAATCAAGATTGGGTTGCCGTGAGTGCCAGTGCGATCGAGTGGGTTCGATCGGACAATATTGTCATACACAAACGGGTCAATGTCAGTGTAGAGAAGGTTATTCCGGACGACGATGTGATGCTTGTGCGCCGGGTTATTTTGGTTATCCCGAGTGTAGACGCTGTAATTGTGATGCAGATGGTTCGTATGTGGGTAAAGATGGTTTGATCACCTGTGATGCCAATGGTCAATGTCCCTGTAAGAGTTTAGTAGTGGGTTTAAAGTGTGATACTTGTATGCAGTCATCATTCGGTTTGTCTGCCCTTAATCCTGAAGGCTGTACCAGATGTTATTGTTTTGGTCGTGCTAGTGAATGTGAACAAAGTAATTGGTCTTGGGGTCATGTCAGAATGTCAGAGTCACGTAATCTTTCCATACAATATTTGAACTCACAGCATATAAGTAATTCGGAATTTGAATATATTGTGGTGGTACAAATGTCCGGTTCCAAAACATATCGAGAAGATGCAGAAATACAAAATTTCAATGGTTTAAATTTAATACCTCGCTCTACGGGAAATGTTTCCATGGGTTCCTATAGCCAACTATACTATCCCTTGTACTTCCAATTACCCCCACAATTCTATGGCGATCGTATTAGCAGTTATGGTGGTAATCTGTATTTTACTTTATTAACCGAGGGAGGTAATACACCTTTAGATCGTAAACTCTTAAGTCGTTATCCTTTGGTACAATTGCATGCTCATCATAAAATGATTTTGGATTTTTATGAATACGAAAGTTTTGAATACTCACGCAATGAAACTTATCGTGTACCTTTACATGAAACCTATTGGAAGTTGCATCACAATGGCCAATCGGTGGATAGAGCGACCTTAATGGCTGCTCTGCAAAATGTTCGACATATATTGATTCGAGGTTCCTGTTTTGCTGATTTCTCGGAAATAATGTAAGTTTTTAGTATATAAGTTATTTTGGGTGTAGTTTTTAATTTAATTAAACAAAATTTCCAAAGTTTGCAAAATGTCCACATGGATTCGGCCATTTATGTGCATGGATCCACCAGCATGATAGCTAAGGGTGTAGAGAAGTGTAAATGTCCCAAACGGTTTGATGGTTTATCGTGTCAAGATCCTGGTAGAGGTTTCTATAGATGGCGTAATGTTACCGAAACTGAGACTATCTATATAGAAGATCTAATAGGTAGGGCGGCTCCCTGTTTTTGTAACGGACGCAGCCTGGAGTGTAATCGTGAAACGGGAGAGTGTGTGGTAGGTTTTGCAATATGAAAAGGAGAGAGTTTTTTGGGTATTAATGTGATATATGTTTTAGAATTGTCGCGAAAATTCCGGTGGACGTCATTGTGAACAATGTGCCGAGGGTTTCTTTGGCGATCCCAATTCCCCTTACGGCTGCCAAGCCTGTCCTTGTCCCGAAACTAATCGCAATTTTGCCAAAGGTTGCACCGTTTGGCAGGGTGAGGTCAGTTGTGTTTGTCGTCCTGGCTATACGGGAAAATTGTGCGACAAGTGTCGTCATGGTTACTATGGCAATCCTTTGGCTTCCCCTATTAGTACCTGTAAACCCTGTAATTGTAATCTGAATGGCATTAGCCGGGAGGGTTGTGATGCTTTGACGGGCCAGTGTTATTGTCGAGAAGGAGTTACTGGTCTGAAATGTGATAAATGTAAAGCGGCACGTCATCATGTGGAAGAGAAAGGCTGCAGATGTAAGTTATTAAAACCAAGAAGGGAGTGTTCCATTTCTTAAATATTTCCTCTTTGTTTTCTTTAAAATTTCCCTTACCCCAGTGTGCGATAACTGTACTCTACTCCTACTGGACTATGTAGAACTAATAGGTCATAAACTTAGAAGAGGCATACACAACATGGATTTGACTGGTATACCAGCTCCCTACATTAAGGTCGAGGAATATGAAGATCTTTTTAATCTACAAAATACCCGCTATCATGACTTTAATAATGCTCGCCAATTGCTGCTAAACTATGACAGCTCAGCCCTCATAAAATTAGATTCACATGCCGAAAATCAAAAATTCCAAAATCGTAAGGCCTTAGCCACGGCTGAGAAAAGGAACCAGGCTGTGCAGGTTATACTTAAAGATGCTCGTCTACTTTATGGCGATCTGGAATCTATACAGACGGGTATTCTAACAAATATAGCAAATCTGGAAAATTATGGTAGGGGATCTCATTATTTAAGTTTACCCACTGCTTTGCAGCAAGGTAGATTCTATTTGGATTCGATTAAACAACATAGGGACTCGGTAAATGATATTAGAACGGCAGCTTCTTGTGCCTGGCATTATTACTTTAAGTTCGGCAATGCCTCCGATGCGGCCTTTGATCAAAAGGCTAAAGTGGAAATGTTTTGGAGGGATCTAAATCATACCAATTTTCGCATATCGGATATAAGATTACAAGCAGATCGTACCGTGGAAATGCAAAATGAAATCGATGATGTTCTGGAGCATATACGTAATCTAAAGAGTTATACTTCGGAAGATTATCAGCAGATAGTCGATTTAAAGTTTAAGATAAGGGAATATCTTAAGGAGACCTTAGTGCCTCAAACTGCGGTGTTAGTGGAAATGAATGTTGGACGTTTGGAGTTGTTGAGCGGTAATGTAGACAATATTATTAAACTGGGTACAGTGTTAAATGCCACCTTGGATGAAAATGAAACGGTTCACCGGGAAGTGCGTAAACATTGGCTGCCTAAAGCTCAAAAACATGCCGCTCGTTTGCTGGAAAGATCCAACGAATATGCCCGACAATTTCAACCCACACGTAATGGAGCTCGTATAGCCATGCTGGCGAGGTAAGTTTGCAAAGAAGATTTCTGTTAAAAGTTTTTATTAAATTGTTCCTAAAATAGTTCGGCCCATAAAAATATATCGGAGGCCATAGAGGCAGCACGCTTGGCTTCCATAGAAGCCAGAGAACGGGTTTATACTGCCCATAATAAACTTTATCCTAGGCAAGGCCTATCGGTTATTGATAGAGCTAGAATTTCTTTAAATAAATCCAAAATTTTAAAACAAGATGCCATGCAGGAGATTAAGGAAACAGAAGGTAAGTTTTTTTTCTTAAGAAAGGTCAAATATCAAAATTGTAATTCCTTTCACCTATCTAAAAAGGTCTTAAGAATCGTTTGCGCGTCCATGAGAATAAGGTAGAAGGCATTAAGAATCGTATTATAAATGCTGGCATACGTACCAATAACATCTCCTCGCATATACAACCTTTGCAACATACTACGGCTCGCAAAAATACCATAGAAAGTTTGGATATTGCTTCCAAAATCTCAGATGAAATGAAGGGAGTATCGCGGCACACTCAGCAGCTGCATGAAGATATTAAAAAGTTACGTGATAAATTTGCAATTTTAGAACCCGATTGGGAAATCAAATTGGGTTTGGCAGAGGAAAATATTTCCCTAACCAAAACCAATGTACGTTTAGCTAATATTTCTCTAACCTATGTGGAAGAGCAAGCGGTTAAGGAGCAATCAGAGTTTGATGTATGGAATAATACCATGGCTAAACAGATCCAAGAGTTAAGAGATAAAATTGCCAAAGCTAAACATGCCGCAGAAGGTATTAAGATTTCTTTAGAGTCTTTGGGTCCCAAATGCATAAGATCCTATTTGCCTATATCCTATGGTCTCACCACGTCCAATACTATTAAACTCAGCTTTGCCCTACCCAATCGTAATGGCAATTCACCTCTGCTCTATATACAGGGCAATGATGGTCGTTATATTGCCTTGGATCTATTCAAAAGACATGTTAGACTTTTATGGAATTTGGGTGGTTCCACCGAGATTATAACCCATCCCTTAGAGATACAGACAAGAGATCCGCAATACGATGATGCCTGGTATCATGTCGAGGTTAATCGTACTTTAAATATAGGCAGTCTTTTGGTAAGACGTATGAATAATTATGGCGCCTTAGTGCCTCAGAATCCTGTGACTGGCAATACTGATGTGGAATTTACACGCTTTTTCCAAACTCCGGAGGAACGCATATATCTGGGTGGTTATCCCAAGTTAATGCGCACCAAAGATTTGCAATTGAATCCGGGTCTTAATGTTGTGGTACACAATGTGGAGGTCGATAATAAACCCATGGGTATATGGAATTTTGCCTCGAGTGAGGGTAAATGTGGAGGCGCCATGATAGGGGCTCAAGAATCCAGCTCTTCCTCCGTAGCTAGACATTTTAATGGTTTAGGCTATGCAGAGGTGAAGAAGTCTCGTCCGCGACCTTATCGCAAGAACTTGTTTGCTTTACAAATGACCTTTAAGACATTAGATGAGAATGCACTGTTATTCTTAGCGGTAGATGATAAAAATGTAAGTTTCTCTTTATTCAGACTCCTCTTTTCCCAGAAGTTTTAAGTTTTTATTCTTCTCTTTAACAGAATCGCTCGGTATCTGTGACTCTCAGTCGTGGTCGCATTATGTTCCGCATTGATTATGGCGATGAATCGAAATTGGAAATTAATACCACCAATAAATACAATACAGGTAAATGGATTAAAATCGAGGCAGCTCGGGAATTTGTACCCAAACGTGGTACAGAAAATGGCATATTGAGGGTGAATAATGAAAGAGCTATAACGGGTTCTCCGTCGGTACCCATTAAAAGTCATATGCTGCCGGATCTTTCGAAACCGGTTTATTATTTGGGTGGAGTACCGCCTGGTTTTACCTCGGCTACCTCTAAAGCTCCCGGAGCAGATAATCCCTTCTTGGGTTGCATGATGGATGTTCAAGTTAATGGCGAGACTTATGATCCTTTGGAAAGTTCTTCGTATTTCGGAGTGGAACCTTCGTGCAAGGAGATGATAACCAAGTAAGTTTTTTTTTTAAGGAATTTACATAAAAAGCTTTTTATTTCTATAAAAGCTTTTTCAGTAGTAGAAGTCTGCTTTGCAAAAAAAAAAATAAAAGTTTTTCTTAAAAAAGCTATTTTGTTAGAAAACAATAAAGCTTTTTCATAAAAAAATTTACTTTTTAAATATTTTTCGTAAAAAGCTTTTTTAAAAATATTTTTCATAAAAAGCTTTTTCTAAAAAAGTTTTCATAAACACATTTTTTAAAAATATTTGTTATAAAAAGCCTTTTATAAAAAAGACTTCATAAAAAAGCTTTTTATAAAAAAGTTTTCTCATTATAAAAGCTATTTTTCTAAAAAATAAAATTTTTTACAAAAAAATTATATCAATAAATTTTTTTAAAAATAAGGCTATTTACAGGAAAGCTTTATCATTAAAAAGCTTCTTCCACATAAAAAACAGCAAAAAATGCTTTATGAAAAAACTTTCTCTTTTAAATTTTTTATAAAAATGTGTTTAATTTTTTTACGAAAAAGCTTATAACACGAATGCTTTAATTGACAAAAAGAGCAAAAGCTTTTTCGACAAATAAGCTTTGGTTTTCTCATAAAAAAATTTCAACAAAAAACTTCTACATGAAAAAGCTTTCTGATAAAAAGCATTTTAATAAAAAATATTTCTTTTAAAAAAGCTTTGTAACAAAAACGTTTATCTTAGAAAAAGCTTTTTATTGAAAAAGTTTTTTAACGAAAGCTTTTTATCAAATAGTTTTTAAAAAAGTTATTTTTTCAAAAAGTTTTTTAAATAAGCTTTTTATCAAAGTTTTTTAAAAAAGCTTTTTATCAAAGTTTTTAAAAAAAAAACTTTTATCAAAGTTTCAAATAAGCTTTGGTATGAAGCATATTTGTTTTCTCGTAAAATTTTTTCAACAAAAAGCTTCCTCATAAAAAAAGCTTTCTGATAAAAAGCTTTTTAATAAAAAATATTTCTTTTAAAAAGTTTTTTAACAAACAACTTTCTTATAAAAAAGCTTTGTAACAAAAAGCTTTATCTTAGAAAAAGCTGTTTACTTTATTTTTAGTTTTTAAAATAGTTCCTTTTTCAAAAAGTTTTTTAAATAAGTTTTTTATCAAAGTTTTTTAAAAAAGCTTTTTATTGAAGTATTGTGAAAAAGCTTTTTATCAAAATTTTTTAAAAAAAGTTTTTATCAAAGTTTTTTAAAAAAGCTTTTTATCAAAAAAAGCTTTTCATCAAAAGAAGGATCTTTTAACTAAAAAATTTAAAAAAAAAAATATTTTTATCAAAAATTATTCACAATCTAAATCTTTTTTCCCACAGGGCTGGCTTCACAGGTCAAGGTTACATCGAATTACCCTCCCAGTCGTTGCGCAAACGAGCCAATACCGGTTTCGTTTTCCGCACTCTCCAATCCGACTGTTTACTACTGCTCTCCGCCTACCCGCCCGAAGTTCAGGATGACTACGATGCCAAAGATATTAAAGGAAACTATTCCATTTCTCTTATCGATGGTCATCTCCAAGTATGGATTAATTCGGGACGCAGTTTCATACAAATGCATTCGAATGTTTCACTTAATGATGGTGAATTCCATGTGGTTAATTTACTGAAAAATGGTCGTAAATTTGAGCTAATGGTCGACGATGAACTGCAAGTAACGAAAAATCTTATGGGCTCACCCACACTTGTCAGTATGCCACGTGATGCTGGTGGTTTGTATATAGGCGGTGCACCTCCCTTCGAGGATTATACACCTTTGGCTCCTACTTTTATAAAGTTGGAGGGTGCAGTACGTGATGTGGTTTTCAATAATCGTACTCTGAACTTTAATCAAGCTTTATCGTTTGTCAATGTACAAATTGGACGCAATGGACCTGCTATGGGTAGTGTTAATGGTTTAAGTGATATTTTACTGAAGACAGAACCCATGATTGGTAAAAGTTTTACCGCCGCTCCGGAAGGTTGCAAAAGGGTAAGTGAGAAGGTTATGTGTGTGATTTAGTGAAGGAAAGCTTTTGTAAAGCAAAAAGCTTTAATAATGGTTTTAGAGCTGTTTAAACAAATTTAATTAAATATTTCAACAAAATTCATAAAAAGCTTTTAAAGCTTTTTTATAACAGCATGTTTTTCATTTGTTTTCATTATTACTTTTTTCTTTTTTTTTATAGGATTTTAGTTGTTAAGTCTTAAGTCTTAAAAACATTATCCATTAAAAACCGTTTAGAAAGCTTTAAGCTTTCGAAAGCTTTCATTTATAAGCACCAAAAGTTACTAACTGCCAAAAAAAATCGTCTATATAACAAAAGGGAACATAAAAAGGATTGCTAATAATGGAAAATTTTAACTAAGCTTTTTTAATTTTTAAAATACTAAGGAAACTAATTATCATAAAGAGTGCGGCAATACATATTAACTTTTAAGCTCATTTTATTTTAATCTTAATAATAATATTGCACCTTAAGGTTGTGGTCACGTTTAGGAAAAATTCATTTACTATATAAATAGAACTTTTTATTAAAAAAAAAATATTGTATATATTTTAATAACTAATACTTTAACATTAAGTCTCTATCATTTAACTTTAATTACTTTAAAAAATATATATATTTTAAAAAATTCACCTTAATCATAAAATTTGCTTTTTGTGTCTGTTAATAAAGCTTTCATTTGCAAACAAAAAATCATCATTTAATCATCTTCATTTTCTTGTTTTAAGAAATGTATTGTATAATCTCATAAAATTTTCTTTTAAGTTTTATTTTATTAGTTGTTAACTTTTTTGCAATATTTTGGTTTCATCAATAAAGTTTTTACTTTAGCAACAAAAAATAAACACAAAATTTGTTTTTTTTTTCTATAAATCACGCAAAATTATCATTATACATTTGGCTTAATAACATAACTACTAAAAACAACTGGAAAAGCTTTTGAAAAGCTCTTGCCTAAACATAAAGCTGGCAAAAACTAACACAAAATTCAAAATCCGGGATTGAGGTGAAAGATGCTAAAACTTATCAAAACCACAAAAGCTTTTAAGTATTAATAAGCTTTACCAGCTAAAGCTTAACGTAAAAAGCTTTTAAGTATAACTAATATTGGGTGTTGTCTTTTTATTTCAATGTTTTTACAATTTTCACTGTTTTCTTAATATGTCTCTTTATACAATTCTATATTTCCCCCCTCCACAGGTTGGCAGTTATTCTTATGAGCCCAATGCCTTTAAATTTGGCGATGAACCCTATAGTTTTGCTCAATTGCAAGCTCCTCTACGCAACTATTGGCAAAAGAATTTCCAAATTTCTTTTGATTTTCGCTCCTTTTATCCTAATGGTTTGATTTTCTTAGCTCCCGGCATGAAAGAGAAACAAAAACATTATTTAGCTTTGATTCTAAAAGATGGTCATTTGCTGTTGATAGTCAGAGGACGCCGACGTGAAGAGCTGCCTCTTCATGCTAAACTTAATGATGGTGAATGGCATCATGTTACGTTAATGTGTCAGGATCGTAAGGTTACCATGTCTGTGGAAATAGGTCGTACAGATCAGAAAACTTCGGCACAAATGAAAATACCCAAGAAAATTGCTGCCTCGAATATTATGTTTGTGGGTGGTTTACCCGAGAATCCTCCCAAAATGCCGGCGGAACTTTTAATGAAATTGGAACCGTTTAAGGGTTGTCTACGTAGATTTGCCATAGCGAATAGTACCCAGGATTTGGCGAAACCCGGTAAACATTTACATGTGGGTCAGTGTTTTCCCAATGTGGAGAGGGGTTCCTATTTCCCGGGAGATGCCTATGCGGTGTACAGTAAGTAGACAATCTAATAATGAACAGCAAATTTACACCTTTAAAGAGCCTATTTTCTATAGAAAATTTGCTCTCTTAAAGAGCCTATTTTCTATAGAAAATTTGCTCTCTTAAAGAGCCTATTTTCTAAAGAAAATTTGATCTCTTAAAGAGCCTATTTTCTAAAGAAAATTTGATCTCTTAAAGAGCCTATTTTCTAAAGAAAATTTGCTCTCTTAAAGAGCCTATTTTCTATAGAAAATTTGCTCTCTTAAAGAGCCTATTTTCTATAGAAAATTTGCTCTCTTAAAGAGCCTATTTTCTATAGAAAATTTGCTCTCTTAAAGAGCCTATTTTCTATAGAAAATTTGCTCTCTTAAAGAGCCTATTTTCTATAGAAAATTTGCTCTCTTAAAGAGCCTATTTTCTATAGAAAATTTGCTCTCTTAATGAGCCTATTTTCTATAGAAAATTTGCTCTCTTAATGAGCCTATTTTCTATAGAAAAATTGCTCTCTTAATGAGCCTATTTTCTATAGAAAATTTGCTCTCTTAATGAGCCTATTTTCTATAGAAAATTTGCTCTCTTAATGAGCCTATTTTCTATAGAAAATTTGCTCTTTTAAGGAGCCTATTTTCTATAGAAAATTTGCTCTTTTAAGGAGCCTATTTTCTATAGAAAATTTGCTCTTTTAAGGAGCCTATTTTCTATAGAAAATTTGCTCTTTTAAGGAGCCTATTTTCTATAGAAAATTTGCTCTTTTAAAGAGCCTATTTTCTATAGAAAATTTGCTCTTTTAAGGAGCCTATTTTCTATAGAAAATTTGCTCTTTTAAGGAGCCTATTTGCTCTCTTAAAGAGCCTTTTTTATAGAAAATGTTCTTAAATCTTTGTTTCTTAATATTTGTAGAGAGAAATTTCCATGTTGGCAAGTATTTGGAACTAGAAATGGAATTTAGAACTTCAGAGCTTTCTGGAATTTTGCTAAGTATAACTGAACCTACCGGTTTTCCTGCCTTATCACTGGAAATATTCAATGGCAATGTAAGTTTCAAAACTTTAAAAGAACAAACAATTAAAATTGTTTAAAAAATTAACCAAAATTTTAACAAAAACTTTACGATTTTTTTTTATATCTTTATCCCTCAGATTGTCTTCTCCTGTGACTTGGGTGATGGCAATCCCTTCCGCGTTGAATCTTTACTGCCTTCCAAATATGCTTTGTGCGATAATAAATGGCATAATATATCCGCCCTATATGACTACGAACAACTAGCCTTAAGAATTGATCAAATGCCCACTACAATAGCGGTAGCTCAACAAACTACCATGGGTAGAGTACAAACCAAATCTCCATTATATATAGGAGGAATACCGGGTAAGTTTTTTTTAAATTTCTCTTTCAAATTGAAAAGTATCAAACTTTATTGGTGATTCTAAAAAAAAAACAAAATTCTAGAAATTGCATCCAGTGGTTCCTTATTGACCCGTGAAAATTTCAAAGGTTGTATAAGAAATCTATCGATACGTAACGAACGACGCGATTGGGTTGATATGGATGCATTACATAATGTTTTACTCAGTGAGTGTTTGGTAACCGGCACTGAAAGCTGAGTTTAAGTAAAGTTCAAACTTTAACAAAAATAATAAAGAAAAACTTAAGGATCTAATTGTGATGCCATATACTTAGATAACAAAATATATAAATTTCAATAAGAACTGCCATATAAATAATATAAATATTTAAATTAATTTAAAAGAAAAAAGAATTTACGCTTAATTTTAAATAGTTTTATTAAATGCGACATGATCACTACATACATATGAAACGATTTCCAGTGAATGAAATAGAATTTTTTAAAGAGAGGGTAAGATAGAGGTAGACTATAGGATAGATATCCTAGATAGTCTAAGGTAAATAGTATAATTATTGTGTCGAGTATACAAGGGTGTATTGTTTTGTATATTGGTTTATAGTCTCGACTACAGATTACTATATAGTCTCGACTACAGAGTAGTTTTTAATATCGACTATTGAGTAGTTTGTAGTCTACATACTTATATAGCCTACTCTATAATGTTGACTATAGATTACTCTATAGTTTCGACTATAGAGAATAGTCTTAACAACAGAATAGTCTATAGTCTTGACTATAGAATAGTCTACAGTATTGTCCATAGAATAGTATATAGTCTTGACCATAGAATAGTCTATAGTCTTAACTACAGAATAGTCCATAGTCTTGACTATAGGATAGTCTATAGTCTTGACTATAGAAAAGTGTATATTCTTGACTATAGAATAATCCATAGTCAGGACTATATAAAAGTTTATAGTTTGAACTATAGAATAGTCTATAGTCTCGACCATAAAATAGTCAATTGTATTGACTATAGAGAAGTCCATAGTCTTGACTATAAAGAAGTCTATAGTTTGACTATAGAGAACTATATGTTTTAATTATAGAGAAGTCAAAATTCTTGACTTTAGAATAGTCTATAGTCTTGACTATAGAAAAGTCTATAGTCTTGACTATAGAATAGTTTATAGTCTTGACTATAGAATGATATATAGTCTTGACTATAGAATGGTCTATAGTCCTGACTATAGAATGGTCTATAGTCTTGACTATAGCATAATCAATAGTCTTGCCTATGGACTAGTCTAAAGTCTTGACTATAGAATACTCTGCAGCCTTGACTATAGAGTAATTCATAGTGTTGACTATAAAATAGTCTATAGTCTCGACTATGGAATAGTATATAGTATTGACTATAGAACAGTATTGACTATATAATAGTCTATAGTCTGGACTGTAGAATAGTCTATAGTCTGGACTATATAATAGTCTATAGTCTGGACTATAGAATAGTCTATAGTCTGGACTATATAATAGTCTATAGTCTGGACAGTAGAATAGTCTGTAGTCTGGACTATAGAATAGTCTATAGTCTGGACTATAGAATAGTCTGTAGAATAGTCTATTGTCTGGTCTATAGAATAGGCTATAGTCTGGACTATAGCATAGTCTATAGTCTGGACTATAGCATAGTCTATAGTCTGGACTATAGAATAGTCTATAGTCTGGACTATAGAATAGTCTGGACTATAGTGTGGACTATAGAATAGTCTATAGTCTGGACTATAGAATAGTCTATAGTCTGGACTATAGAATAGTCTATATATACTACAGTAGTGATTATAGGATAGTCTATAATCTTGACTCTATAATAGTCTATAGTCTTGACTATAGAATAGTCTTTGTTCTTGACTATAGAATAGTCTATAGTCGTGACTGTAGAATAGTCTATAGTCTTGACTATACAATAGTCTATAGTCTGGACTATATAATGGTCTATAGTCTGGATTAAAGAATAGTCTGGACTATAGAATAGTCTATAGTCTTGACAATAGAACAGTCTATAGTCTTGACTATAGAATAGTCTATAGTCTTTGCTATAGAATAGTCTATAGACTTGACTACAGAATAGTCTATAGTCTTGATTATAGAATAGTCTATAGTCTTGACTATAGAATAGTCTATAGTCTTGACTATAGAATAGTTTATAGTGTTGACTATAGAATATTTTGTAGTCTTGACTATAGAATAGTCTATAGTTTTGAATACAGAAAGTCTATAGTCTTGAATATAGCATAGTCTGTAGTCTAGACTATAGCATAGTTTATAGTCTTGCCTATAGAATAGTATATAGTCTTGACTATAGAATAATCTATAGCCTTGACTTTAGAATAGTCTATAGTCTTTACTATATAATAGTTTATAGTCTTGACTATAGAATAGTTTTTAGACTTGACTGTAGAATAGTTTTTAGTCTTGACTATAGAATAATCTATAGTCTTAACTATTGAATAGTAGTAGTCTTGATTATAGAATAGTCTTGACTATAAATTCGTCTTTACTGTTGAGAATGGAGTAGTCTTTAGCTTCTGCTATAGAGTAGTCTACAGTCTGGACAATAGGGTTGTCTATGGTTTTGACTATGGAGAAGTCTATAATGACAACTATGGAGTAGTCTATAGTTTCTACTAAAGATGAGATAATTTCCTAAAAACTATTTCAATTATGATATAGATCTGAATTATAAGATATTATATTTAATTCTGCATAATTAAACACCTTTAGCTTATTGAAAGCTCAACTTTCAAAGCTTTACAGCTTTAACCGTAATTCTCAGACATCCTCAGCTTAAAAGTTTACTCTTTCTTACTTTTATCAATATTAAACAAACAAGAGAAAAAGCTTTTTATATTTTTCTCCATAGAGAAAAGCTTTTGCTTTTCTAAAAGCTTATTTACTTTCTAAAGCTTTTGCTTTTATAAAAGCTTATTTACTTCCTAAAGCTTTTTTAGCTTTAGTTTCAAATCCCATACCAGTAACTGCATTTTATTTAAAAGAATTAGTGTTAGTAACTCATAATAAAACTTTTAGCGATTGTATAAATAAAACGAAAAAAAAGCTTTTAGTATATTTAATGTTTATATAGAGTAAAAATACCCCCTGTCATTAAAAAAAAACCCGGCCCAAAAATATAAAAATGCAATAGCTTAAGTAGTAGAGGCTTATTTTTTATTATATACACAATTGTATTTATAGATTTTTTTTATTTATTTCAAAGCCTTATTTTATAAGTTAGCAAATAAGTTGCGATTTATATAAGAAATACACTTTGAGAAAACCAGTGCCTTTTCACTTAGAATCTTTAAAAAAACGAAAAAAATAGTAAATTAGTATTTAGACCGACCACCTTTTTTTATATTTTGTAAGTTAGTTATAAACTTTAATGTTTATACAAAATTAAGTTTATTTAAGAATCTCTGTTTATTGTACAGTACTATTTTTTTCATTAACATTTGTATATAAATTTCATTTAAGCGTCTCATTCTTAAAAGTTAAGAAATGTATTTTATTAGTTATATTAATATTTTTGTTTAAAAGAACACTGATACACACATATAAATCCAAATATTAAAGCCATTTTTTATTATTTATTATTTTTCAACTTTTTTTGTTTTTTATTTTTGGTATTTCCTTAATTTAAGCAAAATATAAAACAAATTTTTAAATAAAAAAATTAAAAAAAATTTAATAAAATTTTTAAAACTTATAAGTTTTCGAAGTTTTAAAGCAATTATAATTGTGCTCAATAAAAATTCCTTTAAAGTTAATTGACTAAAAAATGGCTCTAAAATGGATCAAACTATTTCCTCTCTACATTCTTGCCTATATACATATAAACTAGAGTCATAGCTTGGAATATAGACTGGATTATAATGTGTTCCATAGTCAATTGTTTTGGTTATAGCCTGGTTTGTATTATCCTCAAAGATCGTTTTAAAATCTGGACCTTAATCTGATCCAATGTCTTAACTATAGGCTGTCGCAACTATAATCTTATCTACAGACTCCGCAATACTATAGTCTGGTTGATAGTCCAGTCTATATTCTAGCTATAGCACAATCTATAGTCGGTACTATAGTCTGCTCTATAGTTTCAGCAATAACCTATATTATAGTCTCCACTATAGCCCACATTATAGTCTTCTCTATAATCTCATACAAAAACTAAATTAATTACAAAACAAAAAATATATGATTTTTATCAACAAAAAAAAAAAATCTACTTAATTTTTCACCATTAAAAATATTTTTTTTTTTCCAAAATATTTTCATTTACAATTTTTAAGTGCCTGTTTTAGTATCAATTTATCGCACTCCATCAAGTGCCTGCTGCTTATCACTCCCTCACGATCTCTGGCTATTAAAACGATTTTCACCACATTTTTATGTGTTTCGTTGCTTTATTTTTTTTTTGCCAACTGTCTCAATTTATGTCTTTTTTTTTCTTTTATACATTTTTGCAATGCAATTTGATCGTAACATAATTTTAATCGATCATAAAATCAAATTGTAACTCGTACCAACGATAAATATTACTTTTGATGTTTTATTTACCAAAAAACACAAACTACACACTTCTCTTAAGCAAATCAACTAAAACAGCAGGCGTTCTGCCAAAGCACCTAAGTACAGTGGGTAGAAATTTTAGATTTTTGAGGAGAAATTTTTTTGTCTTTAGGACTATAGTCAAAACTATAGGCTGGTGTATAGTCAAGATTATAGTCTAGTCTATAGAAAAGACTAAAGTCCATTCTATAGTCAAGACTATAGTATAGTCTGTAGTTAAGTTTTTAGTCTGGCCTACAGTCAGGACTACAGTCAATACTATAGTCTAGTCTATAGCAAAACTATCGTCTAGTCAATCGTCGAGACAATACTCTAGTACATAGTCAAGACTATGGTCTAGTCAATAGTCAAGACTATAGTATAGTCTATAGTCAAGACTATAGTCTAGTCTATCGTCAAGACTATAGTCTAGTCTATAGTCAAGACTATAGTCTATAGTCAGGACTTTAGTCTAGTCTATAGTCAATACTATAGTCTGGTCTACAGTCTAGTCTATAGTAAAGACTAGACTATAGTCTAGTCTATCGTCAAGACTATAGTATAGTCTGTAGTTAAGACTTTAGTCTGGCCTACACTCAAGACTACAGTCAATACTATAGTCTAGTCTATAGCAAGACTATCGTCTAGTCTATCGTCAAGACAATAGTATAGTCCATAGTCAAGACTATAGTCTAGTCAATAGTCAAGAATATAGCCTAGTCTATAGTCAAGACTATAGTATAGTCTATAGACAAGACTGTAGTCTATTCTATAGTCAAGACTATAGTCTAGTCTATCGTCAAGACTATAGTCTAGTCTATAGTCAAGACTATAGTCTGGTCTACAGTCTAATCTATAGTCAAGACTAGACTATAGTCTAGCCTATCGTCAAGACTATAGTTTAGTCTATAGTTAAGACTATAGTCTATAGTCAAGACTATAGTATAGTCTATAGTCAAGACTATAGACTAGACAATAGACCAGACTATAGTCTTGACTATAGACTAGACCTTAGTCAAGACTGTAGCCTAGTCTATAGTCAAGTTAGACTATAGTCAAGATTATAGTCTAACTTATAGTCAAGACTGTTGTCTAGTCTATAGTCTAGACTGTTGTTTAGTCAAGACTATAGTCTAGTCTATATTCATGTCTATAGTCAAGACTATAGTCTAGTCTATAGTCAAGACTATAGTCTAGTCTATAGTTAA